AGATAGATGAATATCAAGATTTAAATTATCGATTAATTTAAAGAAGAAGAGACAATTCTTTCAATTCGTGAATCTACAGGTTAAGAACCACTGATCAGATAATTCGCGCTTTTCTTTAGAATTTCGATATCATATTGTTTTGTGAGTGTAAGTTATGGAAGGTATGTTCGATGGTCAAAGCTAATCGATTTACATAGACTTGCACAGTGGTAACGCGAGGGCTGCCTTGCCGCAGGCGAGAAAGTGCGATTTCGCGCGTACGAGGAACGCAGAGACCTCCGTTACCAAGTTTGCATGCATAACGACGTAAATCGAAATAGGACAGCGAATAGGAATTAAATGGAAATACGTAAATTATCGCTTGCAAAAATATAACGTGTGGTCGAGCAAACCGATGGACCGAAAGATCGGCAGAGAACGAAGGAGAGAGGTAGTAGGCCAGATCTCCTTATACGGATCGTTGTTTCGGACCACGAGAAAAGGAGAGGGTGTTTCAATCCGTTTGGCCATCCATAGCGAGTGAGAATACGAAGATTCTTGCCCGCATCTCTGCTCCGCTTCACCGATATGTATCTTCGAACGAAACTTTATCCTTTCTCGATGCTTAAGAAATAATTCCCATCTCTTTCGATGAGATAGATAATATCGAGAATTGAAATTTATCTAATACAGCAATTTTTTAATCTCTTTTTGAGTCGCAATCCTCTTTTGTAATTTTCTACTGTTACGTAAGATAAAGAATATTAAAAAGATTAATAAGATTAAAAAGATTGATATCGATTTATTGCTGTAGTATATTGCGATATAATTACGTTAAAATAAATCAGTTGACAAAAGTCATTGACTAAAAAATAATTACTTGAAGATACTTGGCGATTTTGTTGCACGTTGTGACTCGCAGGTTGAAAACCACTGCGAACTATTATCGATACAATAATAATAACATATATGTATATATATTAATTTATGAATCACATGTAGGCGTATAATTTCCGCTGTAAACTAATTACACGATTAAATGACGTTTTCTTCGAAGAGGATGTTTCCATAGCATGAATTTTATCTACTGTTACCATTAACTCGCATAAATGCTAGATATAGTGCCAGGTCCTTCCTGATTGTATTTCTGCCATCGTACACCGTCTTGGACGAATGCGCGGCGTCGGAAATGGCTGTTTCAGAATTATTCCGTCAAATTATCGAGAGAGAGAGAGAGGTGGTCGTTGGTAGGCGAGCCAGGACAAAACATCGTTCGAAACGAGGACCACGAAGCGCCGTACGTGACCAAGAGAAACGAAACGACACGACTCGCGTGCGTTTCATGGGGAATGCGTGACGAGAGATGCAACGAATCGTTCAAGTTTCTCGTAAACTACTTCTCTGTTTCTACGCCTTCGAAAAAGAAATCAATCGACTCGAGAAACTGCCTTCAACGCGATCACGATTGATTACTTGAAATCTATTAAACCAAAGTGCAGGCCAATACTCGATTCTTCTTGTTTTTCTTTTTTCCTCGAAACAAATGAGATGGAAACTTTACTCTTGCTGGTTTTTGTATCTTCCACTTGTGCGAATGATCGAGACAAAAGTTTGATAAAATAATATGTACGTATAACGCATATTGAATGTCCTGCTAATATCGAGAAGAATCGAACAAAAGTGTCCCTCTTTTATCCTTTTCTTTTTTGTTTCACGATCGCTCTCGTAATGGAAAATAAAAAAAAGCACACGGTTTGATAAATAATTCATACCGTAGATGCTCCCTTGAGCGCACGACACATACGAATTTCTTTGGAGTTTTAGCCCCGCCATTATTTTCCCTTTTTCTCCCCTCTTTCCGTTTCTTTTTTTAGATTCGATTATTTTTCAATTCAACAACGTTTGATTCTCTTTGAATCCGAATTCGTTCACGTGATCTAAACTGTTTTCAGCCCTTAATCCCAGTCCGTTTAAAAATAATACACGATGTAAATATAAAGAGAATCCGAGTAATAGCCCGCGCCTACAACTGTAGGTTCCAAAGTGTTATATCATACACAAAGGCAAAGATGATCGACGATAAAAGTAATATCGAAGAGACGAATCGAATAAATAAGCCGCTAACCGGAACGATTAATATGCTACAAATGATATTAGCGTCGCTTATAAAGTGAATGTTATAAAAGATATATATATGTATGTGAATAAGTACTTACGGATTTCAAGGGAAGATCAATTGATCACGTATCCATGAATTTTTTAAACATTTCTTTCCTTTCTTTCCTTCGCATTATATACTGTCCCGTGGCTCACTTTTACGAGCTCCAGATTATCGAAGAAAAAAGTCCGATCTTGTAACACACAATTTCACGTTTTAGATCTCCGATTTCAATATTCACGTTCGAGACACGTTTTCTTGACAATCGATTCACAATTTTAGATTGTAAAAGATTTGTTAAAAAGAAAGAACAGCATGAAATTCAATTCGTGTATCAAGTTAGATTCGAGCTAACCTCACATCACGTTTCGTCCATGCGTCTCGAATGCCGCGAGAACACTGAACCACCGTTCGTCGTACGACCTCCCCACTATTTACTTGGTTGCTCGTCGAGTCTCGATCTCATACGCGTATACGTATACACACGGCCCCCGGTGTGGAAAAACCACTTTGCTGTTTTCCACGATTCTCCCTAGATGGCCGATGAACGACTCGTCGTATTTCTTTCGACTTGATCGATCGAAGATCTCTTCTCGTTGTATCAAGCTCTTGATCACTCGTAAAAAGTCGATCGACTTTATCTCGAAACTGACCAGAAAGATCTCGAAATGTTGTTTATCTTCGCCTTACTCGCCTTGTATGGGTAGTATTCATCGAATACGAACAATCGGGCGAGAGAAACGCATTTGTATATATCCAGCCGTTCTCATCTCGAAGATCTCGTCCTCGACAAAGGACGACCAGCCCCCTATTCGAAGGCCAAATCGTCCAAGGTCGATCATCTTACCGACCAAGCGGCTCGGTCGAGTTTTCTCTCCCTCCTTCTCTGACTTTCTCCTTCTTTCTCGCTCTCGTTTCGAGATCAGTCGGTTCATCGAGCTGATGGGATTACGAAGGGGACCGAGCAGAGAGAGGAAGGAACTGAACCATTACACTTTTACGATTCGATTCCTTTGCTACCTGTTATACATATACCTGCTGCACATTATTGCGGGTGAATATATAACGATATAGGAGCATAAAATGACAAGAAAAAAAAGAACACTTTAAAAATTGGACATGAATTTCGAAGATTCGTGTTTTCGAATTCTAAATAGATTTTAAATGAAATATTGAAAAGTGTTCGTTTGTCACGATTAAAAAAGTGAAACAGAGAGGAAAAACAAAAGCGTTTGAAGAGATGCAAAGAACCATCACGCAATTGTATATGTAAGAGTAAAAAGAGAAGAGGGAATCGGAGGGGAGCGCATTGCCTAGAGGAAAGGAAAGAAACGAAGAAGAGAGAGTTCAAGGTCGGGAGGATGGAAGAACCGCATTTACCGTAGGAGTGGTCGCGTGGGGGGTCGATGCGTCGTAGCCTAGAGCGTATGTATATGCGAGAACGGTTTTGGGACGGGCGCGTAATCCGAATCCGAAACCAGTTTCTGCCCCATGGGTCAACCATACCCCCATCCCCCCTCTTCGATGTCGTCCCTGCGTTCTATCCTCCCCCAAATGTAGCCATTCTTTTTTTCTTTTTCAATACAATACTTTCTTCCGTCAACATAGAATCTCTAGTTCTGTTTTGAGTATCAAAGTTGTTATGTCGTTATACAAGATCGAGGAATTAAGAGTGATATCGATGTTTTTTATTTTTTTTCCATTTTTTTTTTTTTTTTATAATTAGTATCTGAAAGAATAAATAGAAATGTATATGTAGATAATGGTTCGAAATCTATTATGCTAACCTCTTAATGATTGTAACTGTCGATGCCGATTAAATAACAAAATAAAAATAACAATCCTCTTTCTTTTAATCGTGACCATTTTCTCATCGTTTATTGCGTTGTTTATTAATCTTAATATTTGCAGTTTTCACATCGTTAGATTTTCTCGTTTTTTTGCATCGTGTCAAGTTCATTATCATGAATAACCTCGTGACTTTTTATCTGACTCGAACGAAAATATAATATTAGCTTTTCTATTGGCACGCGAATTAGATGAAAAAAAAATTTTGAAATCGAGAGAATCGTCTCGCGATTCGAAGAAGCACGATTCGAGTGTATCATATTTTTTTTTCGATGGATCGATTCTTAGAATTACAGCATCACCAATGTCGTCTATCGGAAGTTTGGATTGGATGAGATAAGCGTTATGCAATTATGGAAGTAAGAGAATATAGATTAGGTTTCAATTTAAGCGGCATACGCCATTGATATACATATATCTAATGAGTGATGTACTCGTGCGCACTGCTATTCGTCGATGACGCATCGCACACAGCTAAGGAAAGGTAATGGTTCGAACGTAATACGACATGGATAGAACTTTGAAGGGGGAAAGAAAGGTTAATACTTCGCGTTTCATATAACTATTCGAGTAATCTTATTTTCTTGATTCTCACGTTCACCGCGTGTAAGTACAAACATTATTATTCGTATATTGCGTATATCGTATGAAAAAAATTAATTGAGAAAGCAAGAGGAAAAGAGAGAAACGAAGAGAAGAAAAGAGAGGAAAAATAGAAACTAGGATGAGAGGAGCAATCGTTGCCAGCATCAGTGTCGTGATATTCGTTGGAGCAATGTTGTGCAGGTTAGTCGATTGACAGGCCGGTTTCACGGCTTACTGATCGCGATGCATTTACGAAAGCCGGCTTTCTCCCTCATTCTTTTTGTGCGTGTGAGATATAGCTGGGCCAGTAGTACCAACGCAAATTTGTACTAATGCGCATTTCGATTGGCAGCAGCTCTGACGGACAAGTGTACATGGGAACGAATTGGTTGAAAGATCTGAACGAGAATATCAATGCGTTGAACAGGAATTTACAACAAAATATGCACCAGCTGCAACAACGAATACATAACACGGTGCAAAGAAATTTGGAACAAGTTCATCGATTGACGGAAAATCTAGGTATGCGATTCGGTGTTAAATTTTTTCAATTTCTTTTCGACTCGTTATCTGGAAATTATTAACCTTATTTTACCAATGCAAACGTTCCTTTCACTATCAACCATGAGAGATCCATTCTCTCTTTCTCTCTATCTATTTTTCAAGGCAATCGAATCGTTTCTTTCTAATAATAACTATACGTAATCATTTTGCGTTTTTCGAAATTGGATGACGTCATTTTTTTCAGATAATAATTCTAGTAATTCTATGATCCAAATGATTGGAGGAAACAGTGTCGTCATATCGAATAATGATGGAACTAAGATCGTTCAATCCGGTCGTACTTCCGATGGAAAACCTTATATCCGTGAAAGCACGGACAAAATTATAGGCGACACTCTTCAACATATTGAAAGAATTTATGATCCCATTACTAATACTTCAAAGATGCACGGCTATACGTTGAATTTAAAGGATCCCTCGGCTAAACCTGTTCCGTTAAACGATACTGCGTAAAAGATGCCAAGGAAAAAATGATGTTACTACTTATATCTTATATTTAACAATAATCATTTATCTATCTAATATTTTATTTCCACATATGTAAACGACAATAAATGAGTGAATAATCAAGTTTTTGAGAAATTTTTTCGCACGAAAATGTTCACGGTCCGAATCTTGCTTAAAATTGTTTTTTATACTATAGAGCTTTTTTCTCGCGAAAAATGTGTTACGCGAGTGATAAACGTTTTGCGAATATATATATATATGTGTGTTAAAGTGGCGCCGAGAGAGGAACGAGAGATTCCACACGGGGTACCTTAAATGGAAATGCCCCTGGCTTGTCCTCGATTTCAAGCTCTTCTCGCCTTCTCTTTCAACGCGTTCCTCCTGTTTCTGCCATGCCAAATCCCTTCTATCTTTGCCCTCCTCTTTCATTTTCCTATCTCTTTCTTTTTACCCCCGCCAAACTTATTGCCATTCGCACACTTTCCATTTGCCATAAAACATTTTTCACGATCCCATCGGTGAATTGTGAAGATCGATTAAGATTTATGTATGAGAGTACTAATTTGCAAAATGAAAAAAAAGCTTCAATGCTAATTTTTCTCTTCAAGCCAAAGCACATACGCTTCAGATATTTATATTGGGATATTCGATTGGGATATTAACTTGTTGGAATATTAACGACATATAAAAAATGCATTGAATAGACTCTATTAAGATTTTTAATTAATGGGTTAGGCAAGAAGAGCAATAAAGTTAATCGAATATTGCCGCCGTTTCAGCGCATGAATATTGCAAAGATAGACAAGGAAAGCAAATAGGATGAGAAGGATAGAGATAATGTAAAAATATTGAAATCAGCGCCATCTTCAGAGTGCCGCAAATGAAACTCAATATACAAGGACAGAAAATAATTAGAGAAGGATATGATAGGAATTGCCCATCAGTGCCATCTCTCGAAAATTGAAGATACCTCTTCATAAGGTGGATAATGTAGAGTAAGAATTTAGAGTTAGCGCTATCTTTTAAAAACATTATGGCGCTAGTTTTTAATTCTTATTCTACGTTATCTAACCTAAAAAGTGTATATGATAATCGAGAGATGGCGCTGATGATGAATTCTTATTTTATTTCTATCTTTCTCGTATTATTTGTTATCCTTGTGTATTGAATTTCATTTGCGGCACTCTGAAGATGGCGCTGATTTCAATAATTTTACCCTATCTCTTTCCTTCTCTTACTATTTATTTTTCTTGTTTATTTTTAATCAAAAAAATTTAAGAAATGGCGCAAATATTTCATTAACTTTATTGTTTTTTTTATCTATAATATTAATATAATCATTATAATATTAATAATATCGAAGCAAAAAATAATTATTGGTAAATATGCTAATGAGCATAATAAGTATTTTTAGAATTAAAAAAATAATTGAAAAACATTTAATGCCATATAAAATAATAATAAAAGGTAATTAAGACATATTATATTTAAATTTTATAAATAGATCATATTTTTAATGTTTATTTCAAAAATAAATAATCATTCTTACATTTAATTATACTTTCTCTTATTCCATCACGCTGTCGTCTTATTTCATTCTAAATCAATAATATCGCATGACAAAATACAATATAAAAAAATATATGTACCGTATATAGAAATACAATATTGTATATAATATATAACAATGTATAAAAATATAAACGCATTCTTATACATACTCCAATATGAATCAATGAATCGGTTTCACGATATTAGCACCTTATGTCAGCAAAACGAAAACCGCCTGTGTACAACGGGTTGCATATTGCAACAGCGCATGCTTATAAATGAGCGCTCACGATTCGTTTCCGCTGTTTTCTTCATTCTGTGATTCACGATCGTTCTTTCTTGTGATTAATTTTAATTTGTTCAAAGATGCAGATCAAAAGAAAAATAATACCATCAACATTATATCTTTTTATTTTTTACGCCGTATCGTTCGTTCCATGTTCCACTGAAAACAGACACGCAACAGGTAAGTGATTCTATTCGTTTCTTAATATTGTTCGTATATAACATTCTTCATTTTTTCATTTTCATTCGATGAAATAAATTAATTCTCATAGAAAAAACGAAATATCCTACTATTATTCAGATAACGAAAAAATGAAATCTATTTTTCTTTCTCTTAAAATAAAACATATTATTTTAAAACAAACGTGCCACTTTTCATAACGCGACACAGATCTGCGTTAAAAATTTTTTTTTACATCGATATTGAGCGAAATAATTGTATTTTATTCCCAAACGGAAGCAATGCCTACCGATATATTCCTATCTATTGCCAACATCATCCGGTCGTTATCTCCTATCTTTTCACTTATATTAATAACTTCAGAAAATTTCGTTCGAGGAAAAGAGCCAGACGACTCGTGCACCGGATTAAACAACGAGACAGGGCGCTGCGATTATTTGAGACGATGCTTTTATCACGAGTACGATTCAAATTTTACGCTCGCTGTGATTCACTCATGCACGATAGGAAATGCGTAAGTTTGAACAAACTTATGATCCAAATTTTTCTCAACATTCAAATCTCGTTAAATTAAATTCAAACAGATACATGGGCATTTGTTGCTCGAATCGTTGGAATGGAATGTACAAAAAGGATACGGAGAATCAAAGTTTTGCCAAAGTTCTTCCGTTAATTGCAGGTACGAAGACACAATTCGATTAATTTCACTTATATATACTATATATATATATAGTACTATATATATTACTTACATGTGATTGCGATTGATTTTAGTCGATCGTAAAGAAAAACGAAACGAGGGCAGGATCGTTTGGTCGACGGAAGAAGAGGGCGCGTCGAGCTCGTCTCGAAATCCGCAAGTGTCGAGAGGATGCGGAACAACATTAAAAAATCCGAGTAGATTAGCCGGTGGTAGGCCGGCCGATCCGACAGAATGGCCCTGGATGGTGGCCCTCCTCAAAAAAGACAAGTCTCAATACTGCGGTGGTGTCCTCATCACGGATAGACACGTTTTAACCGCGGCTCATTGCGTCGATGGGTAAAATTCAACAAACCTGATATAATCTTACACTTTCTCGATTTAAAATTTAAAAATTGTCTTTTCTTTCTTCGTTTCTTCAAAAAAAAAAGTTTGAAACCTCGAGACGTGAGAGTGAGACTCGGCGAATACGATTTCGAGTCGACGGAAGAGACGAGAGCTTTAGATTTCTCCATCGTTGAAATTAGTATCCATCCGGATTTCGATACGGCCACGTACGAGAACGATATAGCTATGATCAAGATGCACCGACCGACCATTTTCGACAGTTACATCTGGCCGGTGTGCCTGCCACCTATCGGTCAATCGTTCGAGAACGAGAGCGCGATCGTGACGGGGTGGGGTACTCGATATTACGGGGGGCCAGCGAGCACGGTTTTGATGGAGGTCGGTGTACCGGTATGGCCACGAGACAGATGCACGCGAAGTTTCGTCCAACGAATTCCCAACACGACTATCTGCGCCGGTTCTTACGAAGGTGGAGGCGATTCTTGTCAGGTAAAAAAATATCGATTGTCGGTACAAAAGATCGCGAAAGACGCGAGTCTCTCGAGTGTTTGTTTTAATGAGGTTATTTTCGTTCTTTTTTTTCCATCGCACAGGGTGATTCGGGTGGGCCGTTATTGCATCAACTTGAAAACGGTAGATGGGTGAACATTGGGATAGTGTCTTGGGGAATCGGGTGTGGAAATCGAGGAGTTCCTGGAATATACACGCGGGTCAATTTCTATTTCGATTGGATACTCAAGAATGCTGTGTTCTAAGTTTGAACATCTCTCTTCCAATGATTGCGTTTAAAATCGTAAATATAGTAAATGTAAATTAACGCTTTACGACAATTATATCATTCTCGTTTAAAAATATATTAAAAGTAAGTTAAAAAATTAAAGATTCGATTTTATCCACCGATTTCAGTGGAAGAAATACGTGGAAACGAAGAAACTTTATTTTCCTCGAATAATCAACTGTTACATCTGTTCGAAAAAGGAGATTGACACGAATAGAGAGAAATTCGACGTTGCTTGACGTTGCGCTAATGTATTTTGTATACTTTCATTCCTTTCACAGCGTGAACGCGCATATAAACAAGAAACGGGCGCGTGTGCACGACTACGTTACGCGATTAGTTTTTCCGCATAACCAATAAGCAGATTTCGAAGATTCTTCGATTGAATTTCCATTGTGTTTCGCAATTGTGACTTTCGAACGAGGTCCAGCCTCTCTTTTTCTTTGTACACCGCAGATACATACAGTGTAAAACTAACTTTGCGTGAGTATGTATGTGTGTGTATATGTGTGTGTATGTATGTATGTGCGCACTTATATGTAACTCATGCGTGAGAATCTAACGTACGGGGTGTCACAAGTTAAAACAGGTTGCCTGATTATCTTTGACGCGATAAAAAAATATTACAAACGAAATTTAAATGCTTATCAATGGACGAATATATGTTAATGTCGAATTCCAAAGATGTTTCTTCGGAATTTTTAAAATCACGGATTTTGTTTAAAATACGTTCCTCAGTATATGAATGGTACTATAGAAGATAATTAGCTAGCCTCTTTTAACATGATTACCTTGTATAGATATATATATATATGTATGTACATATCTTTCACCAACATGGGAACGCGCAAAAATTTACTATTTTTTTTACATTTCTGTTCGATCGCTTATCTTTGAAATTTATTTCAAATAACTTTCATTTCTCGATAGAATACGTTTCGATCGAATCGCGAAAATGAATAGCGCTCAATAACTATATGCTGCAAATAGAACGAGGAGGAAGACAAAATATTCGATCGATTTTTCCCGACTTTCCAAGCTCTTTAGTAGCTTTATTAAAATTAATTTTCTCGTATTGCACGCTTCCACGCTTTTCAATCGATTCCTGCGCGCATTAAATTTTACTTTACACGTCTCTCTTCTCGGATTTCAATGAATTTTTTTTTTTTTTTT